GAGGAGCAAAACTATTAGCCAAAGCAAAGCACAATCAGGAAGCTAGAACCATCAGCAACTCCCCTTTCATTCAACACATACACACTGGGTACCTACCATGGTCCTAGTACTGGGCCATCATGTTCCTAAGAACCACAAAAGTACAGTATCCTCAAAGACAAATAGCTTTATTTGAGGAGACTGGAGATGGTTTTCTTGATTAATGTGAATACATATAACTTATAAATAAAATATATATTTTGCCCTACCAGGAATCTGCTGAGACCAAAGGACTGACATTGTCCCAAATCACAAAGGGTTTTCAGGGTTGCACCAGCCCTTTGTCCTCTCCTGATGTCATCTCTCTTAAATGGCCTTCAGAAAGGTAGAGATTATACTTCTGATTTCTAAAATGACTCCACTCTTAAAACATGCTAGGGTTTATCCAAAGAGCAACCATAAACTACTGTCCATTCTGGTAGAGTATCAGTTTACTTATGTTTTATATTGTACAAACATATGAACTGCATACATCTAAACATACCTACAAATCATTTTTTCACTAATGAAGTTCCTGTGATGACAACGGAATATTCACAACCACGAAACAGAATGCTCGTATCATACACAGAAGCCACACAAACTGAGCTGGGATTTTTTTTTTTCCAGGTGTCCTTAAACCATGGCAGAAAGTAGAGAAAAGGCAGAGTGAAAGGCGGTAACGCGGTTGAGAGTCCGCCTTTTGTAATCAGTTTCCTTATGGTCCTACCAAGGGATGATACCTTGAACCCATTCAAATTAGCCCATCTAGTGCACTGTACTAGGAGCATCTGAATTACAAAAGGTGGGGGGGTGAGCCTCTAAATCCTACAGTTGCCAGTTCACCCGCCACAATTTGAGGGCATTAATAAATCTCCACAGGAGCTTTCCAGCGCATTCCACATTACTAACAGTATTTGGAACTCACCTGTTTCTCAGCCACGTGATCCCCCAGACACTGCCTCCCCTTCTACTTTTACTGGAAAATTCCTCCCTCACCCCTTTTTCAGGACAAAATATAAAAGGTCCTAAAAAGAAGGGGCACGCGACTGCTAGGGGAGAGAATCTGTCTCCTCTCCCCCATACAGATGCTGACAGAAATGAAGAAGCAACTATGAGAGAAGAAACCATCAGAAATCCAGTGCAGACCACCTCAGGAGAGCTTTCCTGACAAGACGATTCAGACCACACGCAAAAAGTGGCAAGGTGCCATTTCCCCCTCAATCCCTCTAGCCTGAGAGGTTTCCAGCAACCTGAGGTGGCAACTGAACAATTACTTATTGTCATTCCCACGACAGTTCTTTTCTGGAGAATCGGAAGGCCTCCTACCTCACAACTCAAGTCATTCCTGCATTGCCCTTCTTGAAAGTCCTTTTTCCATTTGTTCTTTGAAGCAATTACTCCGAGCAGGTGGTTGTTTGACTAACACGTACCTCTTAAAACCCTGAACCAGAAAGTCGACACCATCGTAAGACACAGATGCTCCCAAGGGGAAAAATATATCTCTTCATCAAGCCAGCGGTTGAAACGTTCCAATAACCTTTAACTTGGAACCATTCTGCCAACCACTTTTTAAGCTGCATTCATGTCTTCATTGTAACTTAAATGTTTGGCACACAAATTCTAGATTTAGGCAAAATACATCCTTTTTCTAAATCTTATGAATCCCAAACTTAAGCCCTCTTCAGAGTACATTTTTTCTAGGCTTATGCATCCTCTGGGAAAACGTACTCACAGTTTCACTTGAACCTCGTGTCCAATTTTGGGATCCCTCTCCTCCTACCAGCACCCCTACACCTAGTCCTCTGCCTGTTCCTGAAAAATCGGAAGGGACTGGAAATGTGAGGTGGAATCCTGTCTGAAATAGGCAAACACTTTCCTAGCGCAGTCAAAGCTCAATCATTTGGGACTCCTGATCTTATCAAATCTTCAGATCAGGAGTAGAATTTGGAAGGCAAAAGCATTTTGTAAAAAAAATAGTAATAATTTCATCTACTTTAACCTTCTAATTTTTGTTTAAATTACCTAGAACAGGTTCCATTACTAATAAACCAAAGACAGCAGTCTACACTGAATGTTCTTATCATGTGAGGGAAAAAAAAATGTGAGTAGTCTTATTAAACACTAGTTAGAGCAAGTATATAGGACACGTGTCCAGAAGCGGTTTCCCTGCTTTCTATCTTGAGTCTATCTTTGTCACCAACTGTTTTGGTCACAATCCTTTTAAAATTTAGCCCACAGCAGCGCAACAGGGAATCAAAAACAAATATGTCGACTATTAAAACTATAGAGACTGGAGTATAATGATGATGCCAGACTTTCAATCCTACAAGCGTCAGAAAACTCACGAACCAAGAGGAAGCTAAAGTATCTTCAAAATTTGATTCATTTTCCACGTACGCTCAAAAAGACTCTTGAACACATGAATTTATGAGTAGCCTAGTCAGGTAAAGAAGCATGACAGTGAGGCTGGCAGCTTTGTTGTCGACAGCTTATTTCCTTATTTAACAAATCTTGAACGTTAATAATGAAGCTAGGCTTTGGTGAAATTTCTGATTCCTCATTCTCCCGTATGCAGTTATTAAGACAAAGAGGCCAACGGTCTCCCTATCAGACCAGGGTGAACGAAGGGTAAGGTGGACGAGAAAGAATACAAAACCCATTTCTTTCTCTTCCTCCTCCTTTTTTCCTCTCAGACTGAGTTGGTTTTGTTTCCCTCCAAGATTTCAGACCATCAATCTGACCAAGATCGCTGTTTAAATTAACAGCAACACAAACTCCCACAAAGTGCTATCCCGTCGTCTCTCATCCCCACTGACAACCTTTCACCTGTGAGAATCGAACCGGCACCTGCAGTTCTCAAACGCTCTTGGTCTAAGTGCAGTTGTGCTTAAAACTTCATGTTTGGGTTGTCAACCCTTGGCTTTCTCTCCCCTGAAAAATGTGTATGAGTCCAGCATTAAAACTTTTAAAGAACAGTTTTGTTTTATTTTTTTTTGCTAAGTGAAATAAAGAACACATTTCTAATCTGCATTCCTGCTAAAGACAAATGAGTCATTCAGATGCCATTAGAAAAAAAATTGCTTGATTTTTCATAAAAACCAGTATGGCCTTTAAGTAAATACCTTGAGGACGCTATCTTTCCATCACTTTGATAAGCCTCAAGAAAGAAGCCACATCCCCAAATGTCTTGGGGCAGTATCCAGGAGCAGATGAACTTTTACCTAATTAAAAAAGTGAATCATTTATTTGAAAAGTTCCACATCATTTATTTTAACTGATTTCTTCAATATCCGGCGACTGGTGGTTTGTCAGCTGTCATAATTCATCAGCCCTACACTTTTATGCAGACTGAATTTGTAACTTTAAACAACTAAGCCTCCTCTGCTCAATGTTACCTTTGGAGGTAAATTACTGCAGCAAGACATTCCTCCTCATTCCCCCCACCTTCACACTTAAATGCGCTAGATGCCTGTCACGAAATTTCCTCAATCTCACTTTAATAACCTGATTCTAAAAGTCACCTGTGCCTCTGCATGGCCCAGTCATGTGTTTTCAAGGGTGAAAAAAAAAAATCTGTTTCTTGTATGGAAAAGGTTTCATCACCAGAGGAAACATGATGGGGCTGACTGTATATGATTTTCTGCTTTTCCAGAAGCTGACGCTTTTAAAATCTTTTTATAAACCATCTCTTTCCCACGAAACATACCAGAGTTGCAAGGAGAGCGTTACAATGAGGGAGATCAGGGCTGAAGAGAGAAAAAGAAAAAAAAAAAAATTCAAAACTGCGACCCAGATGTAAGATTAAGGGAAGGTAGTTAGAAGGATTGCCAAAAACCACCTTACCTTTGTTATGTATCTGGAGTCGCCCACTTCAGAAATTAACACCACTCACAGCCCGGTAGCAATTTACACGGCTAGGAAGTAACCTACAACATCTTCTCCGCCTCCCTCTTTTTAATGTAAAATCAAAATAAGGAGTGTCCAGCTACTCCCCACCGCGCCGCTTAAAGCAACAGATCGTTTTAGGCTTAACTCCCAGGCCCCGGGAATTCCAGTTTGTCAGAACGTCTTAACCTTGGAAACCTGCGGAGAGCGACTCTCCACGAGGACGACTCCCCAAGCCCCGGCTTCTCACTGTCCCAAACTGCACATTCCAAAGTGGGAAGCAGGAGCGATAACCAGAAGGCAGCTCTCGGGGGCTAAATTCCTGGCGGGAGCGAGAACTTGAAAGCGAGGCGATTCCACTGGCCGAGCGGCGCGGGGTCCGCAGCCCGGGGGGGAGACGAGCTGGCCCCGGGAGCCCGGCTGCGTCGGGCGCCGCGCACGGGGAGCGCTCCGGGTCTGGTCTGCGAGCTCTTCCCTGTTCCCCTCCTCCCCCTCCCGCCGCCCTCCCCCAGCCGAGGCCATTCGCCTCACAGTAGCAAGGTTGTCTCTCGTCTACTCCCTTCCCTTAAACTCACCAAACCAGATTTTTACTCCCAACACCGGCAACTTCCCGTAAATCTGCACTGAAATTTTATCCTGCTCGCTGAGCCTCCGCTGGCTAAAGGCCAGTGCAACATTCCTGTTGTTTTAGGAGCTCAGATACCTTTGAAGGTTAAGGGGGGTGGGGGGGGAATCTGCCCGGATGGGAGAGATTTGGGGACTTCACCAGACAGGCTTCTCTCCCCGCTCCAAAAGTCACATCCATTTCTGACATCCAGAAACGGCCCCAGAAGTGGCACCTGCTGCGCCTGAGGACATCTGCCCTCAGACGTCTGGCCCCCTTTGGGCTGTTCAGAGAAACGAAGCAGAACCATGTTTGAGGAATAAGGAACCTGCTGTTGAATCACGAGCAGATCGGTACCCCCCCCAACCCTGTTCTTCCCCGTCCGTCCCCCCCCCCCCCCGCCCGGTACTCGAGCCGTTTAACCAGGTAATGTCACAGCCAGCCCCGCGGCGGGCCCGAAGGCGGGGGGGGCCTCCCAGAGTGTCCTTACCTGAGGCACAGCAGCGCTCGCACGGGCGCAGGAAGGAACGTCACGCGGCCGAAACCCTGACCTTTGCCGGGGCCTTCGCAGCAGGGCCTGGGGCCTGGGCGCTGCTCGTTCAGAAGTGGCTCATTTTAATGCGCCCTGACCTAAAGTTACAGCTGTTTCTAGAAAGGGAACAAAAAACACTGCCTTTAAAAACAGCCGCCGAGCCCTCCCTTAACCTTGCCTGATCTCTGGGGACTTGGCTCTAACCCCCACCCCAGCCCCATCCCAAAGAAACCCGCAATCCGTGCCCCACCCCTTCGCGTTACCTGTTTATACAAGAGTTAAGGAGCCTCACGCATTTCAATAGAGCGCTAAGCCTGTTTGTAGGCGCGTAACCGGCCAACAGGAATCGAATTCTGTGACTAAACAAACTAGAAGAGGAAGCAGGCACCACCAGGAACCTAAAACGGAGTTGTGATTTCGGGTTGCAGTGTCACCAACTGAGAAAAAAAAAAAAGTATTGTTTCTCACTGGGCTATTTTAGTGAAGGACTAGTCCAAAACTGTTTTTCTGCTGGTTAAATGAGTGAGTACATAGGAAGAGCCTAGAACAGTGCCTGGCACATAGTTAACCTCCATTATTATTATTATCATTATTATTTGTATTTGTACTCTGGCTTTTCTCTGAAGAGCACAGGGCATGATCAGAGTTAGAAGTGGACTCTAGACCTAGTACTCCTGCTCATTAGCTGTAAGGCCGTGAGCAAGGGTTTTTGGACCTTCTCCCAGCTTCCGGAAGATTCCAAGGATGAGACTTTTGCTCAGTTTCTGGAAGATTCCAATGATGAGATTTTTGCTCACCGTCTACATTGTAGACAGTCTCGAATACAATGAAAAGTAAAGTTCCTGTAAAGGTGTGTCCAACTCATTTTCATCTTACTTAAAAGTTGCAAGATTGACAAAATACATGGAGATAAATTGGCCTGTGCATTCCATGAAGTTCAGGAATCCGAAACTCAGGACCAGCAATCAACCTTAGATGGGCACTTCATTCTGATTTGAATTTAGGCACTCGATTTGCTTGCTGCCTGGCCCTAGGAAAGTTACTTATCCTTTTCAGTTAGAAGCTGATTCGGGCCAGACAATGGTCTTTGCCATTTGAAAAACAGTGTGATATAGGGGGAAATGATTTTTAAACTCCTCATAAATATTAAAAAGGGATTATTGAAGGCTAAAAAATGTGATCAGCGCTGACAGGACACCCTTTTTCCTCCACCTTGAAAGAAAGAAATCGCCATCCCTTTTACATTAATGAGGCCCTTTGTGCTTTACCAAGCACTTCCCCCGCCCCCCCCCATCTTATCTGATCTTACAAATCAATCCTGTGAGCTACTTCACCCACGTTTTACAGATGAAGACACTCAGGTCCATTAGTTCAAGGCTTCACTGCATAGTGAGACCAGGACTAGTTCCCCAGTTGTAGTTAAATCTAAAACATTTGCCACCTTTAGGAAAAATGATTCCTTAAAACCAGCAGAGAGCTCTGCAACATTTTAGATCCCTTTGGGTTTTTTATCTTCCCTGATGGGGCAAGATTTACCTCAGATCCATTAAACATTTTTCTGGGTTCCCTCCTCGTCAATGCAGGTGAGAATGAACTAGCCACAGCCGGCAGTGAGGATACTCTGAGGCTCTCGTACCACACCGAAGGGTTCACACTGCCCAGTGTGAACAAGGACTCTGCACACTTAAGGCAACGTACAGACTCCAAGCTACATTAGCCTGGGTTTTTCTTTTCTTTTTCAGAAGTATCTGAATGGTGGTCTCAAGAACCTTTCCTAGGGTCATGCTTTGAGTTAAAGGAGTCAAGAGAGAACGTTCTCAGGCTTACTGATTTTTCCACGTGAGGACAGGATTTTCCATAGGAAGCCCTGGGCCAAAGCCTGGGGAATAATGACCAGGAATCAGACAGTGAGTGTGAAAGTGTGGAGGTCAGTGAACTGGGCGGCAGTCAGAGAAGATGGCCCTTGATGGGGGCACAAGTCCCTGGAAGGAAGTCTCAAATGTTACCTGGCACTTCTTTCTCAGTTTTGCCCACTGCCACCTATTTGTTCCTAAATACTTTCCACTGTCCTCCCCAGGAATATGTGAAAATAAAACTGACTTGTTAAGCAGCAGGCTGTAACAAAAGAAATGTCAGCCAACATCATTTCTTCTTTGTGGCTGAGCCTTCATGCCTGTTTTTATTATTTTAATTCTCAGGCAAATCCCATGATCCTGGGGCATTTTAGGTTTGCAGACCCCTGCGTTTTGCTTTCTGCTTCCTTCTTTCCGTTGGGCCCGTAAGGCAATGTGACTAGACTGAATGCAAACAGCATACAGCTTGGTTTCGCACAGATTTGAGTTTGAGTCTCAGTTTTATCCCAGCTGTGTGATGCTGGGCAAATTGCTTAACTGCTCTGAGCTTCACAGTGTCTTCATTTATAAAGTAACAGCACCTACCTCCCTAGATTTCTTTAAGAGTTAAATGAGAGGTGAAATCTTAGCACAGTTCCTGGCACATGTCGGTAACTCAAAAAATGGTATTTCCTTTTGTACCTGGAAAAAGCCTACTCCACGGCTCACAAAGAATCTTCCTGCCCATGTTTAAGTCTCAGATCAAATAACACTTTTCCAAGACGCTCTCATCGACAGAGGCAAACTGAAGGTGTAATAATAACCCCTCATCTCGGGCGCCTGGGTGGCTCAGTTGGTTGGGCGACTGCCTTCGGCTCAGGTCATGATCCCGGGGTCCTGGGATCGAGTCCCGCATCGGGCTCCCGGCTCAGCGGGGAGCCTGCTTCTCCCTCTGACCCTCTCCTCTCTCATGCTGTTTCTCTCTCGCTCACTCTCTAATAAATAAATAAATAAAATCTTTAAAAAAAATAATAATAACCACTCATCTCCATAGCATCTCCAATGACATACCATCTTTGACCATCACGACTGTGTGAGGTAAGCATGAGAAAAGCACAAACCATTTGCATTGGCCTATTGCTCAGATGAGGAAACTGAGGTTCTTAACAGTTGTTTCAAGTTGCTAGTAAGTAGCAGTGAGGTTTTTTTTACTGCTTTTTACTCTTCCCTACTACTAGAATTGTGACAATAAACTTAACTGACTGAGCCACCCAGGTGCCCCTCAATGTGTTTCTTTTCTTTTTTTTTTTAAGATTTTATTTCTTTGTCAGAGAGAGAGCACAAGCAGGGGGAGCTGCAGACAGAGGGAGAAGCAGGCTCCCCACTGAGGAGGGAGCCTGATAGAGGACTCGCTCCCAGGACGCTGGGATCATGACAGGAGCTGAAGGCAGACGCTTAACTGACTGAGCCACCCAGGCATCCGATATGTGTTTCTTTAAGACCAAAGACTACGTACTCAAACAATACAGGTGAGGCCTAAATGACGCATTCAATAAATAAATGTAAACAGCTGAGAATAATCCCTGGCATGTAGTGATCGCTGTTAACTGTTCTTGCTATTATTATTTCTTCATAAACCAATTCCTTGTGACCGTGGTGAGGTCATAGTAAGCAATTGACTTTTGGGAGAGGGGAGCTTCTATTATCTATTTCTTATAAGAGCTGACCTTTTAGGTACCCTTTTACAGTATGAAAAAGGGTAATACCTTTTCAATGGTTTTACTTTCTACCTGTTTCCCTCATTTTCCCTAATTTTACCTGAAACAGAAAAATTATTGTCAGATGGGATACAATCACTGACCTGAACCCAAACTTTCTGTTGGGCTGCTGATACTGTTCCCAGCCGAAAATAAACCTATATTGACCTAGAACATGCAACTTGACCCAGAGAGACCCAGAGAAACCACAGTTTCCACAGCCTCTCCTTCCTTCATACGGTGGCCACCGGCTACCCATAGGAGAATTTTGGTTTAATCTCTTATTTTCTAATTTTTATATGAAATCCACACTGGATCTAATGTGTGCAAATTGAAGGCATATTATTCCTGGGCACACTTGAATGCAAATGATTTGGCCCGGCCACTAAATGTAGAACACAACCATCAGCTCATGGGTCAAAGGATGAGGGAGGGCCCCTTCCCCCAGGACTCCGTCAGAAGGGCATCTGGGTTTGCGGTCTCCATGCCACACTACAGGAGGGCCCCTCACTGAATTTTAAAAATGTACTGAGTTCACAAAAAAGGGAATTAAGTATAGCAGGGGTTCACTCCACACATTAATCTCAGAAGCCAAATCCTTCATTTTGAGAAAGGCCTTCAATACAAGGAGTCCCTTGACCTCCGTCCTTCCTGCACAAATAGGTCTGCCAGAGCCCGCCTGCTTAGACTGAAGGCTTTTCCCGCCCCCACCTGCCCGCTGAGATGGAAGGAACACTGAAGTCAATTATAGGCCCCTTAAAGGCCCACTCGAGACCAAGAAATGGTTTTGTTATGGTAACAGAGGCTGTTAATTCCTTTCTATCCCTTTAAGACTGATTCCCCACCAGAGATCTCCAGACCTCTTTTTATTTTATAATGGAAAACAGCCTCACATAAGAAGCTCAATCATTCAGCAATAACTTAACCAGAAATGATTGTCAACATAAAACTACCAACATTTATTAAGTGCTTACTAGCACATTTGCTGGACACTGTGTGAAGCACTTTACATGTCTTAGCTATTTAATCCTCACAACAACCCCATGAGATAGAGACTGTTGCTACACCCACTTCATGTATGAAGAGACCAACATGCAGAATAGGTACATGATCCTGCTGAAATCCCCCCTCTAGAAAGTGGCGGAGCAGGTAGCCCCCAAGCCTGCGATCCTCACCATCATGCTCTATGGACTCACAAAAGATTCTTTGTCTACGATTATTTTACATACGTGTGCATTCTGGGAGTGGTAGCACCAGCCTAAAGACGGTGTCTGGCACGTGGTAGACACTCAAAAAGTGTTTGTTGAATGAATGAGGGAATGTGGAGATACATTTGAATGTTATCATCAGTACGGAGAAGCGTGTGTCAAGAGAGGTGGGGTTTAACTCATCGAGAATCTGAGATGTAGGGTTTTCAAAAACATGGTTAAAGTTTTAATTTGACATACAGCACAGGGGGTGAGTATTTCATAGGATAGGATTAATTGCAGATGTAGTTAAATTTACTGACCGTAAAAACCATGTAGAAATAAAGGGAATATTCTTTTCTTTTTAAGATTTTATTTATTTACTTGACAGAGAGCACGAGTAGGCAGAACGGCAGGCAGAGGGAGAGGGAAAAGCAGGCTCTCTGCTGAGCAAGGAGCCCGACGTGGGGCTCGATCCCAGGACCCTGAGGTCATGACCTGAGCTGAAGGCAGCCGCTTAACCACTTAGCCAACTGAGCCACCCGGGTGCCACTAAAGGGAATATTCTTACCTTTGTTTCTGTTGTTTCTCTGCTCAGAAGACCCCTGTAGATCCATCCATTCATCCACCCACCCATCACTGGTATAAGCATAGCAATTAAGAACACAGTCTGGAACCAGCTGCCCGAGTCTGAATCCTATTTCTTACTAACTTTGCAACTGTGAGCAAACAACTTGACTACCCAAGGCCTTAACACTCCTCCTCAGTGCTCACCTCATTAGGAGTGTTTGGAAGATCCCATATGTTACTATAAATGGAGTACTGGAAATAGCACCAGACC